GGGGGGAAAGAAGAGTGATTCACAGATGTGAAAGAGACAGACACAGGGAGAGAAATGGTAAGTTGTGAAGTAGTGTTGAAGCGGTCGAATATGGTATAGAGTGGGGACATGGTAGTTCGAAGTCAGAAGTTAACTGCTTTGTTAATAGATGCGTTTAACGTATAAGTTATCTTGAATATGGGGCCTATTTTGTAACACATCTTAAACCAGATGGAGTAGGTGAAAGTAAATCCGGTTAATTTTTTGAGAAATTTGGCAATGCTAAACCTGCACATTCATTATGAGAGGCACCGCCTACATTGGAATGTGAAAGTTTGGACTTGCAGAAACAGTAAACCAATGACTTCGTAAGAATGCAACCGATGAATTAAAATTGGCAAATCGAGAAAATTGTGCCTAGTAATTAAATAGTATCTGGAATGCCATACCGGACCGTTATATGCATAGGTTGTCTTGTAGTCGTAGTATCCGTGTCGGTGATCATGAGTTCAGTACTTTTTGGTGCACACCCATTGATGTGGTTGGTTAATCGAACTGTCAAGGTCCTTCGATTTAAAATCGAAAAATTCAATTGATCAAAAATTTGCCTATTGATCTAATAACCGCATTAGCTCCAGTGAACAAATCACATCAAAGGTCTTTCGATCGATAATGGAAGTAAGTAGGTCAACTTGGTCATTATTTACAAATAGACTCATGTCCACTTCTCGAAAATTATAAATTGAAATAAAAGCTTATCGGAGATTTGAAGCACTTAAAGAGACAATGATGGGGTCAACTTTGATTAATTTGACTGGGGCAGCCAAGACTCAATAAGAATTGAACAGGTAGGGTTGAGGCTATTATTATTTTGGATAGAACTCACTGATATAAATGCGATTCCATTGTATTTTGAAGTTATTTCAAATCCACTAACCCAGGTATTTTTCAACCACCATCTCCTTTTCCACACAAAACGACCAAATTTACCTCCAAAACGCCTTTATCAACGTAAGTAATTAGCGTGAACAAGAGGGAACTCACGACTGGCCACAGTGAACCTCTTTTACTGCAATTGGTGGATCTCTTCCACAAATTTGAACTGCATAATGAAATAGTGAGATATTCAGATGAGTGATCCCCATTTCATTTCATCCATTTTATTGAGGCACGTGTTTAGGCTGTTTAACTTAAAAAATCGCAACACTACAAGCATACTGCCTTATTGCCTCAATTGCGATATGATTATTTTTGCGTGAGAGGAGATAATATCAATTTGCACTATATTGTCTCGATATTTTTTTGTGAATCAGGTAAAAATGATTTACAAATTCAGCTAAAATCTAAACTTCATTATTGCAAGAATCACATCGATTGCTTTGCTCTCTTTTAATTGAATTAAACACGGATTATGCAGGGCGTTCCAAGTGAACCATTGCTTTATTTCTTCGTGTTTTTCTAATTCCTGATAGTCATTTTATGCATTTTAGTCAGTTGAATTACCGCAGGTCAGACAATTAAGGCCAATGAAAATAACACTGAAAGTTACCGGGACAAAGCAGTAAATAAGCTGGTTACAATCGGTATACTTCAGTCAGAATTCGTGAAAGAGGAAGGGATTTATTTCGCGATAAACACGCGTATAGGAATCGATTTGCTCCTCATTCTCATAAAGTCTTATTTAGAAGTCAGTCTATTCATAATAACTGCCAATTTCTTGCATTTCGAATGTCCAGCTGTCTTCCTCTACACCTCCCCCTATCTTGTAGTCTTGTAGGTGACAGAAGGTTAAACTAATCTTAGGTGATCTACTAAAGTTCGCATTATACACGAGATTTATAATGACCTTCTGCAATCATTATTTATCGTACCCCATTGTGTAAATTCAAGCCATGTATAAAAACAAGCCGTTAAAAGCCCCGTTGGTAAACATGGGAGAGGCAACTTAATGTGATCTTGAAAGGAGCCTTCAGTCGAGGTTGTTGAAGAGAAGCAATTCTCTGAGAACCCTATTTGTTCCACTTAATGTTCAATATAAACACTGATTTAAACAAGGTTGCCACTTCCTCTACATCTACCCCCACCTCTGCTATTGCTAATGCAACAAATTGGAGTGCATATTATGGTTAAAAGATAAGTAAATTATTAATAAAACGAAAAGGGTGTGATAAGAGGGTATTTCATTTCTGTATTTAAAGCATGAAATGTAAAAATATGACAATTAATCCTCCCACCAATTGAAAAGTCCTGCCATGTTTACTTGGCAAAGGTGGGCTAAAGTAAGCATTTTTTAACACGATCATAGATATTAATCAGTTTACTAGATAAGATGTCGGAATCCAACCGTAAATAAAGAATGTGCAGGAATTATGATGGAGGAGAGAATGAATTCACTCAACCAGAGAAGTTGGATTTGAGATGCAGTGAAACGAACACCGAATGTGATCGTTATTGATATTTTCGCATTGAAAGGAGTTAGTTATCTTTGTTAAAACATGTATGAGAACCAGGGTTGCTATTGGTTGGTTGCACATTTGACGGTTTATTCGAGGATAATTTATTGCCATACTTGGTGGAGAATAAGACACATAGTTTTAATTAAAATAGCTTATTGTTCTAGTTAATTGTGGGAGTATATCAATGAATTAGGCGGCAAAGGATTTATATGCATAGAATGTGGGTGATATTTTCCTTGTCAGTTAGTTACAAGTAATATTAAATTTTAAGGTGAAAATTGAAAATGGACTTGGCTGTTTCAATTTATTGTACTTCTCAAATAAACCCAAGTGGGATTGATTTCATTAAGAAGGAAGTGTCTATTTGATTTTTTTGATTCTAACACGAATTAGATTATCTGCAGCTTAAATAACACGTTTCCTGTTAAATATGATAATCGTATCACCCGTATTGAAGGCATCTGTAATCCATTAAAATAGAAACATTTCATGAAGCAAAAGAATCCCGTTACCATCAAAATTTTCAATTTTGCAATGGAGGTAACAATAAGAAACTCTACCTTATGGAAGAGACATGAGCAAGTTGAAAGAGTATTCATTGTTCCTTTACACGAGTGCATTGTGACAACTTACTCAAATACCCTTCCCAAAAATAAAATAAGTAGAAGCCTCCATAGCAAAAATTTGGCATTGCATTTACAAAAGATGTGCTTTGAAACATATGAAACAATTTATATAAGTCGAATAAACGTCAGATTGATATTCAGTCGTCTATGGCTGCTTGAGTTCGTAGTCCCAAGAGTCGTCTTTGGGAAGTCCTTTAATGAAACCATTCTCCGCAGTCTCACTTGAGGTATTTTCACTGCCGCCTTCCAGATCTTTGATAAACATTGCAGGGAAGAAGGAGCACGCGGGACGAAATTCAGGTGGGGACATTATCCGGTTTAAAACTACATTGCCATCTTCCAGATCTTTGTTCAGCTTTGCAGGGCAGAAGGAGCCAAAGGTTGGAAATCCCTTCTGCGACATTTTCCCCTCTACAATTTTTTTTCTTGAGTTGATTTGGAGCGATTAAACTTCGCTTTTCTACATCGAGAACAACAACATGACGTTGGCGGTGCAGTTGTATAAAAGGGTTGATTTGTCACCGGATTTTGAAAATGAACATTGTTATTAGTCATGGTTGGGAAATCAAACGTCGGGTAGGCAACACTCGACAACTGTGAGAAATGGTATTTATGGGGACGTGTTTCAACCGTTGTGCTTCAAAATGACATTTAGAAACTAACACCCACATCATTAGCGCAACCAATCAGTTCGAGGAGGCGAATTAAATTTATGAGTGATTTTTTAAGCGGGTCTGCTTATGTGTGCGAGTGAGAGAATCATGTGTTACGGTTGTCAATGTCTCGACCATTGGTCAGATATATCTTGCAGTGATTAGTTTTAAAAAGCATGTATTGTTTATTCATGAGGAGGGCTCATGAAAATGTGAAGACTCAAAATCAGAGGATTGAGCCAATGAAATGGATGGTTTAATACGGTGTTTGCTGAACGTCAGGTGACTCACAATGGAACTGCTCAGTATGGGTCATGTGTTTTGATATCGTGCAGCATTTCACGTTAAAGCAAGAGAAAGTAATACCGATTGAAATCCGAACAGCTCAATTCGTAGACTATTGAATGCATATAGCGTAGAGTGATTGATGTAATGTATTTGTTGGATTAACTAAGTAATCCATATCCAATGAAAATGAAATGAATAATTCGTTGTTGACCATTGTATAGGATAAGCAGACAAATGATAAATTGTGCTGAATTGCAGTGTCGCCGTCCTCCGCAATTTTCTAACAAAGCATTCACTTTAAGGCATTCGGGTGGCATTTCACTGGGCTTTGGAATTTGTGGCCATTTTGGGAGATAAAATAGGTAAGAACAGTGTTTAATCAATTGTTGTCATTGTGATGACATTTAAGATCACATACCATTTATCTCACTCAGCTTTCTCAAATGAGTGATCAGCCAATATGACTAAATAAGTTATTTGTGGATCTCATCTGTAACTGTTGAAAAGATCATTTATTTCAAATGGTTGGCATTTTGATAATTATCATTAACCATTTAGCTGACTTCGGACTTCCTTAGAGAGAAAGAGGTTCTTCAAAGTGGCAAAAGGTCGAGGGGTGGAGAAGAGAAGAGTGTTTCACAGATGTAAAAGAGATAAATAGATGCAAATGCAGAGAAAAGGTGAGATGAGTACGGTGGAAGTGGTTGAATATGACATACAATGGGGCCATGGTAGTTTGAAAACAAAAGTGAACTGCCGGTTAATAGACCTCTTATACGTATGAGTGTACGTTGCCCAGAGTGCACCACGTAGAGGTAAGTCTATCGCACACACCTTGTTGAAAAGATAAGAAAAGCCGATAAGATATTGCAAGAATGCTAGAGACGAGGACAGTTAAAAGTGAAAGATTGTCACTCAGGCAAATTTTATTGACCTGAGGTGGAATATTTAATAGTGAGACAGAACTGGCGGATGTTTGCACAAATCGATCCGAATATTGGATAGTCATATCGGAGCGATTATAAGAAGTGATTCCTTCCTTAATAATGAGCAACGTCGTCAATAAATGTTACTCCCAGTACAAATACTGGTATATTTTACAAATGTATTTTAACAACTCCAAAATGCCAATATTCGTCAGTTTATCTCTCTTACCTTGAGGTATTGAACCTGTATTGCTACTTTTATTAATAAGTAGTAATAATTTAACTCGCAGATGCGATAAAGGTAATAACGTAGAGGCTACTTAAATGAAGTAGAAATTTCTCAATTTAAGTTGGCATTCTTTTGGCCTATGGTTCTGACTTAAATTAAAGATAGGAGAAAGAGTGTCAATGACCCAATTCCAATAAGTGAAAACAGGATATGGAATGTAAAATTGCATCTCTTTGAAGTTGTAAGCTGATGTGAACTGCAGATTTCATTTCAATACATGTGTGACGAAATTTCTTGCGAGAGCATTTAAATTGACGCAAACTCCATGCAAATGTAGTTTGGATTCTGCAGCGACACGAGTTAATGTCAGTCTACAGCCGCCATAATTCGTAAAGGATCCCATAGTCATCAAAATCAACAAAGAGTATTTCGAAATTTCTTCAAGTATCTGTTTTCTGTGACTAACTTGCTAGACCTCACATTCAACCCTCCCATCATTTTCATGTAATCAGTTATTTTGTATGACGTAACTTTGCAAAATGGTGGTTTTTTCTTTGCATTTTATTCTGCATAAGAGTTAATAAATAAAACGCTGTGTAGATTTGAGTCAAAAGTGGAATATTTCGGTGGTTATTTGTTTTGAATGGCAAGGGTTTCGACAGCTATCATTAGCCCTTAAGCTGACTTCGGGCTTCTCAGAGGTGAGGAGCGCCATCGTCACAGAGAAAGGAGGTAGAGAAGAGAAGAGTGAATTACAGGTGATAAAGAGAGTCAACAAAGGGACAAATGATAAATATAAAAAATCCAGCCAATATCAACAAGCGAATTCCAGAGGAGAATGACTTTTCGACATCTGAACTAATGGTTAAAGTGTTGGAGACTGAAATGGCTTCATTGGTAACTTATTAGAAGAGAAGACGTTTTCGTGGACTCGGGGTAACTTTACACTGCACCTCCACGATGATACTAGCAAGCCAACACATTCCCAAATTTCTTCTCCTTCAAGGCGAGTGCCAAGATCAGTCATCATCCAGACTAGCTCCTAACGCGACTAGATTCGAGACAAATTGTACTAATGTATCAACATTTTGCCAACATCAACTTTTCAAATGGAGAGGAACAATTGAATCTCGTATTTCCCCTCAAATACTCAGGGAATTGAATGTGTTGTAACATTTGTGGATTGCAATTAAACTGGAGATAGAAGCATTCACCCATTATTGTGGCATTGGCCAACCACTTGGAAAATTATTCGTGCTCATTGAGAGTCATTGTGAATAATCATTGGCCTTGTTTGGAGAAGATGGTTGAAGAGCATTAAGATAGTTCTCAATTCCAGAAGATAAAGACTAATTTGCTAAATATTATACCTGGGTGATAAATAATAGTACTTTACTCAATACAAAGGCTCCTTCCTGAATTCGGAAGAGGTACTAGAACGTGACTAAATTCGACTTCTTTGCCAACAAATGAATACAAGGAAACACTGCTTATAAAATGGTTAAATGTTTGAAATGTTCAATAATGTGTAGGGTCATCAGTACTCTGTGAAGGTCAGAAATAGTTTTCCCCATTGCGAAGATGCATCTTGGCAGACATGTGTACTGAGATAAGTGTAGAACGTGAAGAGCATCCATTCGAAACTCAAGTCCAAAGGTTCAACAGTAGTTTTCAGCACTTTAAAAATTACGAATAAAACTTCTCAGCAATTTAACTACTTATAAGAACATCATTTTCGAGAATTTTACTTCATGTTTCAACTTGATTACAAATAGTAATTATTTGATTTGCAAAGTGTATGACTTAACTTTTTTACTAACCCACAGTTTGACAATTATGAGGATTAGATGAAGTCACAGGTATGAAATCACTCTCCTAACTTGACTCTGATAGGCAGTTCTGAGCACTCTTACATTTATCATCTTTTAAATAGTAATATTATCAAAGGCGCCTTCACGTTTGGCAGACTGATTGCCAAAATGGGTGGGTATTCTTTCTCTTCAAATGACCTGGAATTTCAAGACCTAAATATAGATTCACATTTAAATGAAATCAAGTAGAAACCATCATCCTCCCCCACACTATCCCCCCACTAGCCGACAGCAGAAGATGTTAAGGCGACAATACTTGCAATGTGAGCAGAATAGGTTAATAAATCTTCCTCCTTGAGAAGACGACACGTGATTCACATGTGTCTGATTAATTCATTTTTACTTGTAAAATTGATTGATTCCTTGATCTCGTTTCTACCCTGGAAGTTGGAGTATTGTGTTGCAGGTTGTAAAGAACTACTACCAGCCCTCCCCTGTTCTAATTCTCAAAGACACTAATATGAGGACGACAGGTACTTCAATTTTGTGTAGCATGGGGAAAAATAAATCATTATGACTGTTGTACTTAACTCTACCTACATCATATCTCTTCTATTGTTCGAACCGATGTCAGAGGGAGCAAAACTTGAATTCTCATTCCTACAAAGGTGTGAAATAGCCGTCGTTTAAAAAATATTCATTCCAGTATTTACGGTACGATAGGGAATGTTGGCATTCTTTCAAATAATATTTCTATCAAATGACAGGTGGTGTGGTGCTTGTCGTTAGCTCTTTGGTTGACTTCGGGCTTCAGAGAGGAGAGGAACATCAAAGTGGGAAAACG